CGGATGGCGGCGATGGTTACACGGCAATGTGGACATACTTAATGACACTGAGCTGTACACTTAACCCTATATGACATGTATTTAGGTAAACTGACAAAGTGATTCCACTCATACTTTATAAACATAAAACTGTGGACAGCTATAGTAATTGTAAATACTTCAACTTTGTTATTAAAATAACAATTGCATTTGTGCTCTCTTGCAGCAGAAACCACTGATGTACATTGCAGTTTATCCCATGAATCCGAACGATGATCCGTAGATGTCTGGAATCTGGATGTCATCTCCTGATGAACGTGTCAGCAGACATGCCTGAGATCTTAATGAGAGATCCACCAAGGCTTGGAATAGTGAAAAAATCACACAATTGGCACCCATCTCCCCCAGTAGGACATCAAAATCAAGAATTGGAACTCACTTTCCTATTCATGTATGCTTTCATTCTCTCATTCAGCAAACATCTAATGAGCACCTCCAAAATGCCAGGCAGTGCTGGGTTAGGATCAAGGATGAGTCACCTAGACAGGCAGGCTCTGGTCCCAAGGGCCCTGCAGTCTAAAGGGGAGGCAGCTAACAATTGGGTGCAGTAGCCATCCCTTGGGAGAAACTTCCACAATTGCTAAGTTGAAAACATTTGCTCATGCGTGGTAGGCTGGATTCCTTGGAACAGCAAAGTATGGTTTTTCCCACCCAATTCTTGTTGCAAAAACCTTTGAGCTTCTGGCCTCCGTCTTTTAATCAGTTTGCTTTTAATTTGTGCTCCTGGTATTTCTGTGTGAACAACGTGCACACTCACTTAGAATCACTTCAAGGCCTGAAACCATGGGTTCATTATACCCCGAGACAGAAATCGCTTTTCATCCCATCTATTCTAACAGATTCACTTTTAGAAGACATTTCTCCTGGAAACCTCGGGCACTGCTAGTTGGCAGCCACTAAGTGTGGGGTCCGAACTTGTGCGTGAACTCAGCTCCTCCTGAGGAGCTCTGTGACCCCACTGGTGTGTGGGGATAGGAGAGAACATGGGTCTGCCATGCCTCGCTCCAAAAAGGCTACTTCCCTCCGCAGAGGTGAATGCATTTGTTATTTATGCCTTTTGTAGTCGTGAAACAAAAGTAACACTTTATCATTAAATCAATTTGAACACATTTTTAGCAAGTAGTACTTAAAATGGCATCTGAAAATCATCCGTGTCCCCTTTGCCACCACAACTGCAGCAGTGACGTGGCCTGAAGCCCCCCAAAGCCAACGGGGAAAATCAACTCTGGACGTTCCTAGTGTTTCTTGAACAACCTAAAGATCTTCTCCAGGCCAGCATCCTTTATGGCCCTCAGTATTGTACGATTGGTGATGTTTTTGTTGCAGTGCCATGGACTTGACTCATGTGACCCTTATCTGCCCAAAGAGTAGAATTTCTGAGGCATTTTTGATGGTTTATGGGGATTGTTGGATAGAATATTTGAAACTGAGATAATCAGGGCAAACTGGATTGCTTACTTGTGCTTTGTCTAAAGAAGGATGTTCTAAGATTCCTCTTTCCTCTCCTCCAATTGCTCCCTTACAAATAAGTCTGGACATGTTACATTTACTTTAATTGATTTGAGAGAGAGAGAGGGAGGGAGGGAGGAGAGGAGATAGAGAAACATCACTTTGTTGTTTCACCTATTTATGTACTCACTGGTTGTTTCTTTTTTAAAAAAATGTTTTTATTGATATTAGAGAGGGAGAAACATTGATGATAGGGAGACCTCAATCGGTTGCTTCTTGCAAGTCCCATACTGGGGATTGAGCCTGCAACCCAGGCATACTGCCCTGACCGGCAACCTTTCAGTGCACAGCACAACTCCCAGCGACTGACTCACTCCCGCCAGGGCCCTCGGTTGTTTCCTGCATGAGCCTTGACTGGGTTTCAAACCTGCAACCTTGGCATATTGGGACGATGTTCTAACCAACTGAGCTAGCCAGCCAGGGTCTGGACATATTATTTAAAAAGTTAGTAAAACAATGTTATCTGGCTTGTGTAGTCATTCCCCAGGTCACATATTTGCCTTTTAAATGAGCGCTTTAATTCTCCGATACAAAGGGAACCAGGTGGTGGCGGTGCGGCTGGAAATTTAAAGGACTTATAGGCCTTGTCCTAAGATATACTAGAGATCTTATAGCTAATACTTCTATAGCACTTCCACTATGCCAAGGGCCCTGCATATAGTAACTCATTTAATACTCATAACCACCCACGAGTTTGGTGCATTTAATGTCCCCTTTTTATAGGTCAGGAAAATGAAGCACAGGAAACCCTTTCTCGAGGTCACACAGTGGTAAGTGGCAGGCCAGGGGCTTGATCTTGGCAATCTGACTACAGACTTGGAAAGGAGATTATTGATAGGAGCTCAGCCTTTGGTACCCGATAGTACGCGTCTGAATCTAGGCTCCGTCTCTAACTAGCCAAGTGACCTCGGGCAAGGTATCTGAATCACAATTTTCCCATCTGTTAAATGGGAATGTAAGTATATGTAAGGCTCCAGGAACACAGGGCACTTAATGACAGCTGTGAACACTTCTGACCTTCCCCTTGCTTTCAACACACACATGGACACACACATCCATTTTGCGTGGTTAATTCATACTCATCATAAATCATAATTCAGCTTGGAGGGACCACCACCCCAAGCTTTCCCTGCGGGAGGTGCAGCAAGGGAGGTGTGCACCTGAATGAGAGTATACCATGCTAGGGGGACAGAGAGAAAGGGCACATGACTCAGCCTGGGGACTTGGTGGAGGAGGTGGCAGGTGGGTACACTGCAAGCTAAAGGACCCACTAGCTCAGGGGGAGGTCAGGGGGATCAGGATCAGTGATGCTGGAGGGCAGTTAGGTACCAGGGAGTGATCAGGGTCAGGCTAAGGGAGAGGGGCCAGGCAGTGCATGGGTTGTGTGTGTGTGTGGGGGGGGTGCAGCAGGGAGGCCCTGCAACGTTCAGACCAGATCCTGTGCGGGGGACCAGTCAGAAGCTGCTGTGGCAGGACTCTGGGCAGGAGATGAAGGGGATCCGAAGCAGGCGACAATGCCAGAAGACAAAGCCAGTGGGATATGGTTTCTGGATGAGGTTAGAGGGAAGCTCTTAGAACAATTACCCTTTCTCCCAACAATGGTGGTATCACAGTTGTTCACCTTTATTGAACGGAAGTTCCAATCTCTGGAAATGCTTCAAAATTAACTGCTGATTTTGCTGCAAAACTATGAATTGATTAGTCGGAGAGAAATCACCCCTGGTCACCTCATTTTTTTCTTCTTACAGAACACTAATCATCCTTTGGGACAAACTGATGCATTTATATCCAGAGAATTGATTAACTTTTCCCTGTATCTGAAATTATGTCAAATTTTACCCACTTATTTAAAGAAAATCACCCTTTGGAACAAGGCTACTGGTTCTGAGAGATGCGGGTAAGGCCCATCTTGGTGCCAAGAGCAGCAGCCCAGCAGACGAAGGGGTTGGAGCACCTGCTGGGGGCCGGCACACGTCGAACCCTAAAGCTTCGAGACCGCTGGCGGGCTCCTGGCATCAGTTTCCAGCCACTGAAGGAGGATCTGATTCACCTCGGTGGGCCTGGAAAGGAAATGAAAGGCAATTCACACCTGTCTGTACCCTCCCGCCTCACACAAAGTGAACAGTTAACCCAGGGAGGCCTTTACTGAACAGGAAGTCCCGATGTCCCTAACCCAGGGGCCCCCATCTCCTTACTTGTCTATCTGTGTCCAGTGTCCACAGTCCTTAATGTGTCCCCTTTTCAGGTGGGGGATCTGGAAGAAAACACCATCCAGCAAAGTACATGGCAGAATGCAAGTGGGTCTTGTTTCAGGTTAGTGCAATGTGTAACGGAGACTCCTGTAAGGAGGTACCTTCCTCCCTGCTCCTCATAGTCCCCCTCCCCCCAAAACTCTGCATTGTTTAGAAATGACCATTTATTGAGCAACTATTATGTACCAGGTGCTCTACATGCATTGCCTTATTTAAGCTAACCCATAATCCTGTGTGGTAATAGGAAAGCTCAGAGAGGTTAGGTAACCTACCCAAGGCCACACAGAGTGGCTGAGCTGAGATTCAAATTCAGGGCTGATTTGTATTCATCACAACTGTCTCCCTTCAGAATCATTAGGTCTTAGCCAGTTCACTGAGGTTAGCGGTCAGTTACAAGGGGATGGAAAGGACCAGCTGATGATCTTGAATTTCCACAGAAACCTTCTAGGGTTAGAGCCAGAGAACTGAGGCCCATGGGCTCACAGCTTTCTGCAGCACCTTCCTTGGCTGGATCCAGAGCCCACATCACGGCAGCATCCCCAAACACATCCTTCCCGCTGTGCCTGATGCTGCTAACAAAGCCACAGCCAAGTGCAGACAGGCCGCTCTCAGCAGCTAGCTAGCCCACAGTCACCCAACCTGCAGCCTCCCCAATCACGACCAACCTCCACACTTTGAACAGTGAGCTCCAATCCAGGTCTGATGCCTATCACTCCCCTTCAGTGCCTCTCAGGTCCATGGGCCCACACAGCCCAGCCTGGCCCAGAGGGCTCATCAGGCTCCTGCCATTCTCGAGCATGCATGCTCCTCGCCTCTCAAACCTCTGTCTCCTCCCTGGTTCTCTCTCCCTGCCTGCGCTGAGTACGGAATTAACTGCAATGAGCTCCTACAGGGCGGGGTGCGTATCTTACTCATCTTAACCTTCTCAGTATCTAGCACAGTTCCAACACATTTAAGTGCACAGTAAAAGCCCATGGAATGAATAAACGACTGAATGAGAGAGTACATCAGTGCAAGAAAAAGGAAGCATCAGTCATGGTTGTTGTTCCTAAGAGGTGACAGTGATGCTACTGATGAAGCTCCCTGACCAGCAAGTGGTTCAACTGAATATCCCACTCTGTCCTCAGCTGCCATCTTTCCTCTGGGACACCTGCCCTCTCCCAGGAAGCACCAATGGTCTCACGGCAGCACCATCCTTACCCAGTCTTCCATATGCTTGGACAGCTCAGGAGTAAGCACAAGGTCCTTCTCTGCAGTTATCATCAGAGCTGGAATCAGGATCTGGGGAAGGGGTGACAGGAAGTAGGTGCGGCCCAAGAGGGAGAAAGATGTCCCCTTCTCACACCTTCCACAATTTAGGTCGTCCCTTCCCTGGGGCAAGGACATAGGCTTCGTTTTCATGCTATGTGGCTTCCTCCACTGCTAACCCTGCAAAGGACCCCCAGCAGCGCTGCCATGGCCCCCTGGCTCTTGCTGGCATGCTTTGCATGAGGGAGGCATCACTCTTGCTGGAGATCTAGAGGAGTGATGTGAGAGAGTAGAAATACACATATTGGTCTTTGCCTCCGGGTCCTGGCACAGAGCGGCTGGTGTCTGAAGTGTGTGTGCGTGTGAGTCTTGTAGGACTGAGTCCTTAATGTGTGGGTTCTGATGTTCTCTTCAGGTAGTGTCATAAACCAAGTTAAAGTACAGGACACTAGTTGACATTGCAGAGAACTGCTTGCTGGGGAAAAAGCCCTCACACATTCCGTGACAAGTGTCAGAAGTGAAGTGTTTTGCGTGAAAGTAAAAGAGGGAGAGACTGGGTTTTCTAATGCAGATGAACTTGGCAGTGTAGTGACCGACGGGTTTGTGTGTGTGTCTGAGTAAGAATGCCGGCTGGCCCACTCTGAGGGATGGCACCACAAAGAAAGATGCCCTTGAATGGAGGTCAATATTCCTTTTTTTGAGTTAAATGGATGCTTAAAAAGGGCAGCCAAGACTCTAGAAAGTGAATAGGTCGATCACAACTGTTATCAACGTGACATTAGAGGCAGCAAAAATGACTTCCCTTTAATCTACTGACAATGGGACATGGAGAGGTCATGAAAGCCTCTATTTATTCTCTTTGTTATCATTCTACCTTTATAATTTTCAAGAAGCTTTAATTTGTCCCTGATTAAGAATCTGCAGCCCAGCCAGGCGTGGCTCAGCGGCTGAGCATCGACCCAGGATCCAGGAGATTGCAGTTCGATTCCTGGTCAGGGCACATGCCCGGGTTGCAGGCTCAATCCCCAGTTGGGGGCATGCAGGAGGCAGCCGATCAGTGACGACTCTCTTACAATTGATGTTTCTCTCTCTCCCTTCCTCTCTCTGAAATCAATGGAGATAGATTTTTTAAAAAAAATAAGTCTGCTTTTTTTTTTTTTTTTTAACCTACATGCAGAATCATGTGCTTCTCATTGCACCCCATCCTCCAAATGATGAACCAGGGGACACTCAAAAGTGCTTTTGTTGCTGAAGGTTATCCTGAGGCTGCTGTGGGGCTGTATAAACTCTGGAATGTTTCACGTCAAAATGTAAGCTGGTGGTGGGGGCATGGGAAGAGGTGGAGAGGAGGGAGATCTGAAAGGTAACTGCAAAAGAAGAGGGTTAACTTAAATACCACGGGGTTAACCTTCCCAAAGACTTTGTCACTTTGTCCCTCTACACTTTGAGAGATTTTGCCCATCAAGCTGTAGTTTTGTAATTTTTGTCAATCACAGATTAGTGATGATAAAGATAATGAGCGTTAATTGAACTACTATTATGTGCCAGGCATTGTTCCAAGCATTTTATGTGCACTAACCCATGTTATCCTTACACAGCTCCATGAGGCAGGCTCTATTCTTGTCATTTCCATATTACAGAAGCAGCAACAGAGAACAGAATAGTTAAAGGGCTTGCCCAAGGTCACACAGGGATCAGATCCCAAGCTGAACTGCTGTCCAGCCCACTCTTAAACACTATGTTCTATGCTGTACTGCCTCCAGACATAATAACCCATGACACAGGACTCATGTTTAATTCGCCTGGTATCTCCACGGTCTAGCACAGTGCCTGACAGAGGATATTCCTGAGTGAGCCGAGGACTGCGAAAATACAATTTCCCTTAGGTATTGAATGTTTTCAATGTAAGCTGGGGACCCCATTACTCTCATTGCAGACCCAGAGACTGGAAACCATCTTCTGCTTGACAAACGAGGAAACTGAGACATAGACTGACTTAGTCATGTGGTAAAGCTGGAGGCTAAGCCCCATCTCTCTGAGAACACCTAATGCTCCTTCTGTGAACCGGAGCTCCACGATCCTGGTAACATATGGGAGTCACCCTGGACCACCTTCTGCCCTGAGCTGGGGCACTACCAGGAGACCTGGGCCTCCCAGACCGGTGCTGCAGTAACCTGGGCAGACCCCTGCTCTGCCCCTAATGCCACTCTCTAGATTCCAAAGCAGCATCAGCAAAAGAGGTCTTAAGGGGAAACCCTTGAGTGGAGGCACTTCCAAAAGCCCAGAGGGGAAGGACAGAAAGGAGGAAGCCAGCAGGTCAGTCAGTCCACCCCAGCTCTGAACCAAGGGCCTATCAATTGGTCAATGGGAAGCCCTGGGGTGGGGATGGGGTAGTGGGGGTTCATGGAGGAGAGCAACACTGACCAGCACTCACCTTCCGTCCTGTGCCTTTGCAGCCCCACTTCCAGTTCCTGTCTATGTTTCGATACCAGTTTAGGGGACCCCTGGTGGGGGCACATCAGGGAATAAAAATAGGAAAGCTTTTAGTCAATGACTGCTGCAGACCCCTCCAGGAACCAGCTGTGTATAGAGCCAGTTCCAGGAAGAACAAAGTTTCTGCAGGGGAAAAAGAACAGAGCCCAGGAGTTACGTCGGTTGCCCCGCACAATAGCACATGTTGTTTGGTTCGTGGAGAGGGCTGTCACAGGGAGGCTAGCCCCACAGGACCCTCCATGTTATGCCAGGGCTGTCGCGTAAGAGGGTGGGGGGCTTGGTTTAGCACCCTCACCATCCAGAGGCCATACCCCCGCCCCAGGAAATCCACTGAAAAGGGACATCAAGCGGTGGTACAGATGTGTCTCCCCCAAATGGAACATTGGGAGGTGGTGCAAAGGTGTCTTCCCTGGGACAGGTAAGGGTGGCTCTGGAGCTGGACCTAGAACACTCTCCCAGTCCTCAGGCATGGTTGGGGTTGGTGCTTTTGGGCCCTCAGAGTTCCCCCAATGGCTCCAGGCCCTGGGAACACCTAGGACAAGCCATGTGCCCTTTTGGGACTTAATTTTCCTTCCTGAACAAGGAGGTGGGGCTGAGACCACATTGTCTCTATGCTCCCTTCCAGAGCAAATCTGTCCTCAAATCTGAGACTCTTGAATTATCTCTGTTAAAAAGAAAAGAAAAAAAAAGCCTAGGGGAGAGTTGTAGGTTGTGGTGGTGCAGGAGGCACCGGCGCTAAGGGGCAGCAGCCATAGGCGTTCAAGGCCAAGGCTGCCGCACGGGCTCCCAGAGGGGCTGACCAGGACAGTGCCCAGAGTTGGCTCTTTCTGTGTCCTTGGGTTCGTAAAGAGAGAGGCATAAGGGAGAGGATGGAAATGTGAACTGCAGTGTCCTTTAAGAACCCATGAGCTTCAAAGATGTGCAATATTTAAATATTCAAAGGACTGTGCAGGAAAAGGGAACAATTCTTTGTGGTTCCAGAGCAGGGGCCCTGAACTTCAGCATAAAAACAGATCTGAGAAAAAGGAATGAAGTACTGACACCTGCTACAACATGGGCGAACACTGAGAACACCAGCTAAGTGAAAGAAGCCAGGCACAAAGGACCACGTGCTGTATTCCATTTATGTGAATGTCCAGAATAGGCAAATCCATGGAGACAGAGACTGGTGATGGCCTAGGACTCGGGGAGTGGAAGGGAAGTGGGGGAGGGTTGGCTGCTAAAGGAAACAGGCTTTTGTTTTGGGGTGATGAAAACATCCTAAAATGGCATGTGGTGATGACTACACAGCTCCATGAACAAGCTAAAAACCACTGAACTATACAGTTTCAGAGGGCGAATTATATGGTATGTGAGCTAGAGCTCAACAAAGCTGTTAGAGAAATGTATATAACTAAAAATGTATATAACTTTTGAGTTTCTGTGTTTTTCTGAAGAGAGAACTCAGAGCTGACATTTGATTCGCACAGGGGTCATGACTGAAAAAAGGTTAAAAGCATCTGCTCTGAGGGGGCCCATAAGCATAAGGCAGAATGAAATGAGAACCAGAGCAGGTAGAGCATCGTAAGATGGTGAGACTCCCGACACTGGAGGCATTTAAGCAGAGGCAGGCCAGGCATTCACAGGGGCTGTGGTAGAGGGGAACTGGGCCTTGTCCTGCACCCTGAGAACACAGCAGTCCCTCTTTGCTGACCACCTCTCTTCTGTGTTTGGAGCACCATTTTGTTTACCTGAAACCAGACTTCTTGAACTGCTGCACATAGAACTGGATGTCCTCCTCAGTCATGATCCTGCTGAGGCTGGGCTCTTTTGGGGTTTTCACCAAGAGTCCTCCTGCAAAAAGCCACTTGTTCCAATCTCACACCCATCTTGGGCCAGGCATCCCAGCAACTAATGCAGCCTTCTCAATTGACCTTAAGTTCCTAATTGCCTCACGTCCCTTGGTGTTCTTTGTTCATTCTCTCTTAGTTACATCAAGCCCATCTCCTCTCTGTCAGACAAGTTAGTGCTGTCTCTGTCATTCTAGAATCCAACAGTATCACACACAGGCCTCAACTTCCAGGACAAACTCTAGGACTGACAATCCCCCTCCTCTCCTTCAAAAACTTACAACTCAGTTCCAAGATGACACCTGTCTTCTGGCCCTGCCAGCCTTCCAGCTCTCCCTCTCCCCTAGACAAAACCTTTCCTACACAGCTTAACAGATTACATCCCTCCTCAGATACCTCCACTGAGGGTGTTGGAATTTTCCTAAGTGTGCGCTCCAACTGTCCTCTGAGCCTGGAAGAAAATCCAGGACAGGGCACAGGCATGCTATTGCCTTCAGGGACCCTCCCATGGTGTCCTCGGTGTGGAATGTGATTTGTTTTCAGGGGTGTACAGTGTGTCCTGGCAGTCTCCAGTCCTCTGGAGGGCGACCTCGTGATGATGACTGGCGGCCCAGGGATCACTGTCATTTCAGAGGACAGCCGCAAGGGGATCACCAGTTTCAGGCTCTGGAAGCTTTGGAGGTACAGGAGCCGGGCAGTGCAGACTTTTGTGAGATGTATCACAGGGCTATGTGATCAGGGTGCCTCTCTGTGATGAAACAACCCTTAGCCTCCCTGGGGGCCCAAGCGCCTGACTCTGTGCTGTCTTGGTGCCGGGGTGAGAGCCCCACCTGCTCCCCCTCCCTGAATTTCTGCCGCCTGCCTCCCCATGGGCTTCCTGACTCTGCTTCATGTGTTTGGATATCTGTCCCTGCCTCACCAAGTGTGAGCTCAAAACGTGAGCAGAGCGAAGGAATACAGAGTGAGTGAGAAAAGGAAGAGGTGGGAGGGAGAAGGCAAGGGAGGGAAGGGAGAGGGGGTCTTGACCAGCAAGAGGAGAATGGCCTCTAGGGCCAGAGGAGTCTAACTCCAGCCTGGCCACTTGGACAAGTTCCTTAACTCTCTGAGCCCCACTTTCCTCATCTGTAGAATACAGATAATAATGGGATTTTTTAGGGTGTCATGAGGATTATAACAATATATCTAACGAGGGCTAGGCCAGCACTAGATGCACATAGCAGGTGCTCAAACAAGTGGTAGTGTCACTGTTATTAATAAAAATACAAGTGAATAAAGGTAAGGTCAGAATGTTGCAGCAAAAGGTCTATGGGAACAGTGCTGGATCTAGGAACCATGGGATGAGCCCCAGTCCGCTCACTTGTATCCAACCCAAGAGGGAGAACAAGGGTGGTCTTCATGTGACAGAACTGGAAATGATCAGGATGCAGGGTTGGGATGGAGGCGAGGACAGCGGACTATGACAGAGGAGACTTGACTTGGGGTCTAGCCCAACTGTCCCCTCTGCCTGCACCAGGTGACCCTGCAGGTGTCAGTTTCTACCTTGAGTCTCAGTCCTTATCAGTAGAGGGTGGGATTGCCCTGGCAGTTCTAAGATTCCTCCAAGCTCTTACTTTCTAAGATCTTGAATCCAAAGGTCCCTGAAAGAAAGTAACCTGAGGCTCTGTGGTCAGCCCAGGGCTAAGGGGTGTTATTCACCTGTGGGGACCTTATATGAAGCAAGTCATAGTTCAGAGCTGGCAGGTAGCTGTTTCTGCTCATAGAGTCAGATGGAGAAACATTAATGCTCAGCTGGTTCCTGCCATGGCCCTCCTGTCTCCCTTCCCTTCTAAGAATATCTCTTACCCCTTTCACAGGTTTTCTTCGTGCTTAACAAACTCTGTAGGGAGAAAAGTTAGAAATTATGTCATGGGTAAAAAGTAAAAAAAATATGCTAGAAACAGATCACCTAAAAACCCTGACACAACACAGACCTACGAGTGCCATTAGACTATTACAAACATGCTAAAATCCCAAGAGAGGTATACAGTCCTCAGGGGTCACAGCAGAAGTAGCTAACAACCAAAGCTCTGGGACAAGGTTGTCTCCAAACACTTGTAGGTCTTGGTGATGCACGAACTTGGGTATATTAACCAGTGGGAACAAAAGATGAGACCTTAGTTCTATGGCTGATGGGAAGTTAAAAATGAGACCCTCCCCAGCCCTCCACAGTAAATCCAATAAATCTGTGGTCCTCAGTTAAAGGGTGGACTAGAAAAAACCCACCCACCATGACAGAGAGATGTCAAAGGAGTTGGTCCACTTAGTTTGGTACTAAGAGGAAACCAAAAAATGTTCACCTAGAAATTCATAGCTAAAAGCCTGCCTTCACAAGTGCTTGGCTTTGAATTTATACTATCGCCGTGATCTAGAAACCCCCAAGATGCAAAGTCAACAACAACAAAGTGAGGCTGAGCTGGTAATATCACCAGAATGCCTCACAGAAGCAGTCAATGCTAAAGCACAAAGAGGGTCATTTCCTCAATCCCAAATGGAGCAGAATGGTGCAGATTCAGTGCTACTGAGCTCACAAACCAAAATTACCAAACTTCCTCTCTTCTCTCTCTTGAACTCCCCACCCAAATCCCATTACAACAGACAGCAAACACAGCAAATAGTGAATATCAAATAACAGAACCTGAGCAAGAGAGAATGAAAAATGAGTATGCTTAAAACAATTAAAGAAAAGAAGAAACTGAAAAACAAGAACAGAACAAGAGATCAGAATGATCTGAAAAAGAACCAAATACAACTTTAATAAATTTAAAAAAATGTTCAGTGAAATTTTAAAAAAACTTCAAAGATAGGTTAAACTGCAGATTAGACACTACTAAGAGACCAATAAGAGAGTAGACTTGAGGCTGATTTCTCATAAACAATGACAGGAGCCTCTAAAAGAAAAAATTGTCAACCTAGAATTCCATACTCAAACTATTCTTTGAGATTGAAAGCAAAATAAAGACATTTTCTGGCCAAAAAAATTACGATTTTTCTATGAACAGACTTTTGAAAGAACTAACTACAAAAGAAGGTCCTTCCGGAAGAAAGCAATTGAACTTGACATAAAAGAGTGAGATGCTAGAAGTGATCAGCAAAGAAAGTGGCAAACATGGAAAGGCTAAACAGGCACTGACTATATGGAACAATGGTAATGACAGTAACTACTAACACCTAAAACAGGAAGGTGTGACGGGGTTATGGAGATGAGCCATTATAAACAAATGTGGTTGTTCAAGAAAAAGGTTAGAGATAGCAATTAATTTTGGATTTTGATAAACAATTATGCATATTAAAATGGTATAATTTCTCAACTGTCATTATTATAATCATTCTTTGATTTTAGTTTCAAAGCCTTACTGGTGAGTGGCAGTGAAGATGTGACCTTTCCCCACTAATGTGACCAGTAGAGTGAGGATCCCAATCACCCTGACTACAGAAGTCAGAGGAAAGAAGGCCAACTTGCTCATTCACAGGCTCTCCAATCCCCTCCCCCCTCCACCTAGAGGGGCCATCCAGAGACTTTTGCACCTCTGCAGCTCCCCCTCCCTGCTACCCAGCCCTTCTCCTATCCTTTCACCCCTGTACCCCTCACCTCATCACTTGCTCTGAAAAAGGTTTTGAAAGTCCGATTCAGGTCCTCTTCCAGTTCGGCCTCAGCCACTCCCTAAAACAATCAAGAAAGCAGAAATCTTAGACTCCATACCCCTCTCTGATCTGACTGGAAGACACCCCCAACCTCTGTGCCATCCAGCCCAACTTTCATTAGAAGTATATTCAGGGAAATTTTCACACTGAAACACATTTTTTTTTAAATGGTTAAAATTAAATACATGATGCTTACAGTGGTCCTTCCCTGGGAGGTGGGTTTATGGATATTGCTTTCCTTTATGTTTTTCAAAATTCCTACAATGAGAAGGTATTGCTTGTTGTAGGAGAACTCACAGATGCACTATGGCTCCAGCAGCAAAGGCGTCTGGGAAATGTTGGACTCTCCGTTTAACCCTTTGTGACTGTTTAACTCTCTGTAGCCTCAGGCTTGGCTGACTAACCAGAAAGCCAGAAGGCTGCCCAAAGATAAATGTCATGCCCCCAGGAAGAAGGATAATGAATGTATAGAGTATGATAACTGCCTGATACTATCTGTTAACTTAATGAAGGGTCGGGATTCATCTTCCTACCCCCTTTCCTTCTTACTCAATTCCTCATCAGGGAGCATTTCCAAACACATACAGGGAGGGAGGTGGCCAGTGGCTTTGACATTCATCAGTGGATCCTATTCTACTGGCTCGGGTCACCTGGGTCCATGATATTTAGGGCATAAAAGAAAAATTTTTAATCCAATCTGTCTTTTCCAGGAATTGAAAGCCCTTGGACCTGAAAGCTGTTATAGAATCAGTATAAAGAAAGTCAGCTGTCCCTGAGGCACAATCCACCAAGTACAACTGCTCAGAAATAACAGGGATCCTTCCTCGACACAGTCCCTAAGAGGACCGGTGTTATGGGAAGGAACCGAATAAGAGTATGGCAATGTGTCTTAGTCCATCCTGGTTGCTAGAACAGAAACATGAATTGTGTAGCTTTTAAACAGACACTTATTTCTCACAGTCTGGAGGCTGGGATGTATGTTCAAGATCGAGGCCCCAGCAGATTGTGTCTGGTGAGAGCTCACTTCCTGGTTCACAGATGGCATCTTCTCACTATGTCCTCACGCTGTGTCCTCACATGGTAGAAGGGGGAGGGGGCTACCTGGGGTCTCCTTTATAAGGGCACTAATTCCATTTATGAGGGTTCCACCCTCAAGACCCAATCATCTCCCAAAGGGTCCACCTCCTATTAGCATCACATCAGGGGTTAGGATTTCAACACATGAATACGCAGCGGGGTGGGAGTGGGACACACAGTCTATATAGCAAAGTGCCAATCTATTCTTCTCTCCTCCTTCCCACTGCTCATCTGAGCATACCCAGGTAACAACTAAACTGAATTGCAGAATGTTTCCTAAATGGATGCCCTGCTTTTCCACCTCCCTCATTTAAAATACTATAACTTCCACCAAGAACACCTACATCCCTCAGTTTGGCCTTCAAGGCCTGTCTCAAACACTGCCTTCTCCAGGAAGTCCTGCCTTCCCCTATCACAATAAAATAGCTCTACTCTTCTTAGATCCCACAGAGTCTTTGATGTGTCTCCTTGGAGGCCCCAAGAGCAGAGAAGCATCCACTCATCTTATTCCTGGGATCATCTGTGAGTGGTCCTGGGTAGAATAACCTTCCCAGGGAAGACGGTCCTATTAGCCAGGTCAATAAAGCATTCCAGTGACCAGTGGGCCTCTGGCCTTGCACACTGAAGGAGGTCCTTCTCCACTGCACTTCATTTGCTCTGCACATTGCAAGTCACTAGAGCTCTAGATCTATGAGATGCCAGCACCACAGCCAAGGACACAATTGTCATCAGGCAGTGCTAGATCTGCAGTTTGAGATTTATGAGGAAAGTGATGTTGGTGCATTAATTACAATCCCCTTACATTTGTAAGATTCAATTACGATGGAGAATCAATCATAGCCCTCTGCTACGTGATGAATGCTGAGGCAAAAAATAGCCATGGAAGGAAGTACATTTTCAGTGATCAATAAAAGCCCTGGTCAGCCCTGTCACCACGGGTCATCACTCATTTATGCAGGGCAGCCCCCATGCCAGAAACCACTGCTGTTCATGAGCTCAGGGGCGTATCTCAGTGGGTGGAGGTATCGCCACAGGCCCAGAGGTCTGGACAGGGCTTTGGTCCTCAAATAATCCTTAATGAGCAAACAGATGCCAAAAGGGAGCTCCCACAAAACAGGAGCTCAGGCAGCTTTCATGCCTCTATAGCTAAGACCACAAGACACTGTCTCAGAGGGGAGCATCCCTCTAATCAGTGGGCAGGAGCCAGTAACTCTGCTTCATGTTCTGTCTACCTTGATATTACTTGAATTCCTCTGAAACTCTGGGACAGAGTTCTCTCAAAACAGGCAGGGAAACAGCTGGGGTGGTTGTTCCTGGGGTTGAGGATGCCAGTGGATAGAGGCATGTGAAAAACTATAACTCCCTGCAGCTTGGCCAGGCAGATGATGAGAGAGAAGCCAGGCCTCAGAGGGGCTGTGATGCCCCGAGGCACGCTGCCACTGAGATGAGAGGGCCATCTTGAAGGTGAAGACCCTCAGGTTGAGACGTGACCTTGTTCGAAGGTGGACTATAAATGGCCAGGCTGGAAACGGGAACTCCAGACTTTAAGCCCCTCAGGATTTGGTTCTTTTCACTGTAACATAACACTACCCATTGAAGCAAACAAAAATGAAATGCCACGAGTTTCTTCCATGGGGGGCACAAAAACAAAAACCATGATAAAGGCTGGCGAGTAAGGTGGCTCACGGTGGCATTTTCCTTCAAATGTACTATTGAGCTGTGAAAAGTCATCAAAATCGTGTTCTTCAGCAGAGCACTGGGGAAATGAATCATGGTCCATCTGTTTCATGAAGCACCAAGCAGCCATTAAAAAGGAATGAGGTTAATCTATATGTACGGACGGGAAATCTGTCTCCGATGGATTAAATGAAAAAGGCAGAACGATTCAATTTATACTAAAAATTATGTATATACCTGTGTGTGGGTGTGTGGCATACACACACTTACTTAGCACACTTTTTAAAAAATGAGGAATATTCATAGTAGCTAGTTCTAGATTAGTGAAAGGAAATTTAACTCTATTTTACACAACTCAGCCTCTTTTTTAAAGTTGCAAGCATAAATACCTAACAGAAAAGAATGCAACAAACCACCTGCTATCCCGAGACAGTGTGTTCTCTCTTTTTTTTAATCCTCACTTGAGGATATTTTTTCCCGTTGCTTTTCAGAGAGGGTGGAAGAGAGAGAGAAACATTGATGTGAGAGAGACACATTAACTGGGGCTGGGGATTGAGCCTGCAACCGTACGTGCCCTTGGTCAGGACAGAACCCAGGACCTTTCAGTCCACGGCTGACGCTCAAACCACTGAGCAAGCCAGCCAGGGTGAGTTAGCATGCTCTGGGGATTAAGAAAGACCACACTGTGAGGGAGAAAGAAGATCACTTGTGGATATTGAGGATGTGAAGGTACCCTTCAGCCAGGCAAAACCCTCTTCCTTGACTACTACCTAAAATTTACTTTTCCTACATTTTCTCTCTATTCCCCAGTTTCTCAGCTGGTTAAATACTTAAAAGTAGGTTTTGGTGCTTGAAATCTGCCTATAGCTTGATATATGGTTTCAGATGCATGCGTGCACGCACACACAAACACCCCCCCCCCAAATAAAATTATATATATACTGCTGAGACGTAAAGACAAACCGTGCTGGGAAGTGGAAGAAGGCAGGATTAACAGGACATACCAGACATGTTCTGATTTGGGGGGTAAAGGGGCTATGAGATAACCCCAGGCTAAGTGAGACATGAAAAATCCTAAGATTTTAAAAATGGAACAGGTCCTGCTGAAATCACTCAGCTGATTCTCCTCCTCCCTTAAGAATACAAATGCAAAGCCTATTATCCCTTCTCTGCGAAGAAAGGAAAACACACCTTTTAGTATTAGTTTCCACCAGATTTGGCAAATTCTCAGGGCAAGATAAGTAAAGGTGGACTAGGAGTTCAAAGAGCTGGGGGCAGGGCTGGACCTAAACCTGGAGTTTGTCTACGCTACACCCTGCAGGGCTCAGCAAACAGGAACAAGGGTGGGAAGGGCTGGGTGCACCAAGACGGCAGAGCCTCCCTTAGGCTGAATGAGTCTGAATGAGTCTGAATGAGTCTTGAGCCTCTTGGACGACTCCTCCAAGCTAGAGAGCTGTGGGAACTGGGTTGGGAGTGAGGCAGGAAGAAAGGGCTGGCTACCAACACCCATCCCTGAAGCAAAGAGTTGCTGTACTTGGCATGTTACTTCTTGTCCTGAATTTAGCTTCATTTGCAGCTATAACCTGTTTGAAAATCATCCAATGAGACCATCCTTCTTCAGGTGAAGAAACTGAGGGCCAGAGATAGGAAGGGACTTGCCCCATTACTAAGTAGGTAGCAGACATGCTGGCAGAACCCAGGTGAGTGATTTCTCCTTAAGACCCAGCTCTGTGCCTATCCTGACACCCTCTGTGCCTGGTTCCCGTGTTCCTTTCAGTGGCCAGATCACTACTTTGAATACCTAACATTTCCAAGCCAAGAGGCTTTGTTCTTACGAACAAAACCATCCTGCCCTAGCTGGTTTGGCTGAGTGGTTAGAGCATGGGCCTGTGTACTGAAGGGTCCCAGGTTCAATTTTGGCCAAGGGCATGTGCCTCGGTTGCAGGCTTGATCCCTGACCCCGGCTGGGGCTCCTGTGGGAGGCAACCAATCAATGTGTCTCTGTCACATCGATGTTTCTCTCTCTTTCTCTACCCAAACAAAAACACTATCCCCACACTCTCCTTGCAGATTTTAAGTCCAGCTGCTGTAACAGAACAGAGGTACTGATTTTTTTCATGACTATATTAACCTTTGAAACCAAAAACTTTATCCTACTAGGGCTGCAATAATTTATTGTCTTTCCCCTGAGGTCACTTTTTCAATCAGGACTTTGAGCTTATCCTGGTTAGCTCCTCCCCTCTCTGCTGGATGTGCAAGACCCAATAAAATTCATGCCCCTCCCTCTGTCCCGAAGGGTGGCATAAGGGACCTGAAGTCAAACAAGACCAGGTCCACATCCTGACCCACCCATGTACTTGGTATCGCTCCAGTTAGTGAGCCTGCCCGAGTCTACTTGCTCAGCTGAAAAGATGAGAGAGATGTCACAGTGCTGTTGTGAACAGAACTAATTGGCATATAGAGCCCAAAAAAGCAGCAGTTGCAACCCAACTGTCCATGACAGATGTACAAAGAAACAGAAGGATATTACTGTCTTAAAGAGGAAGAAATGCTGACACTTGCTACAGCGTGAACCCTGAGGACATTATGCTGAGTGAAATAAGCCAGACACAAAAGGACAAATACTGTAGGATTCCCCGTAGAGTAGTCAAATTCATAGAGACAGGAAGCAGAATGGGGGTTGCCAGGGTGG